GTCAAATAGGACTCACAGTGAACAGTAGCATGGGACTAACAGTGAACAGTCGCATGGGACTAACAGTGAACAGTCGCATGGGACTAACAGAGAACAGTAGCATGGGACTAACAGTGAACAGTCACATGGGACTCACAGAGAACAGTCGCATGGGACTAACAGAGAACAGTAGCATGGGACTCACAGAGAACAGTCACATGGGACTCACAGTGAACAGTCGCATGGGACTCACAGAGAACAGTCGTGTGGGACTCAAAGTGAACAGTCACATGGGACTCACAGTGAACAGTCGCATGGGACTAACAGTGAACAGTCGCATGGGACTCACAGAGAACAGTCGCATGGGACTCACAGAGAACAGTCGCATGAGACTCACAGAGAACAGTCGCATGGGACTCACAGAGAACAGTCGCATGAGACTCACAGTGAACAGTCGCATGGGACTCACAGAGAACAGTCGCATGGGACTCACAGAGAACAGTCGCATGAGACTAACAGTGAACAGTCACATGGGACTAACAGTGAACAGTCGCATGGGACTCACAGAGAACAGTAGCATGGGACTAACAGAGAACAGTCACATGGGACTAACAGTGAACAGTCACATGGGACTAACAGTGAACAGTCGCATGGGACTCACAGAGAACAGTCGCATGGGACTAACAGTGAACAGTCACATGGGACTAACAGTGAACAGTCGCATGGGACTCACAGAGAACAGTAGCATGGGACTAACAGAGAACAGTCACATGGGACTAACAGTGAACAGTCGCATGGGACTCACAGAGAACAGTAGCATGGGACTAACAGAGAACAGTCACATGGGACTAACAGTGAACAGTCACATGGGACTAACAGTGAACAGTCGCATGGGACTCACAGTGAACAGTCACATGGGACTAACAGTGAACAGTCGCATGGGACTAACAGAGAACAGTCACATGGGACTAACAGTGAACAGTCGCATGGGACTCACAGTGAACAGTCGCGTGGGACTCACAGTGAACATTCATGTGGGACTCACAGTGAACATTCATGTGGGACTCACAATGATCACAGTCATGTGGGACTCAATAATCACAGTCATGTGGGACTCACAATAATCACAGTCATGTGGGACTCACAGTGAACAGTCATGTGGGACTCACAGTGAACACAGTCAAATGGGACTCACAGTGAACATTCATGTGGGACTCACAGTGAACAGTCATGTGGGACTCACAATGATCACAGTCATGTGGGACTCACAGTGAACACAGTCACATGGGACTCACAGTGAACACAGTCAAATGGGACTCACAGGTGCAGCTTTATTTAATGACAAAAACTGAATTTTAGGGTCCATTTTCAGGATTTAATCATGATCAGAACAATTTCTAGGAAAGACAATTTATAGAGATTTATAATAGAATTCTAATACTATAGTATATAATACTGACAATTTTTCGGTTTGTCATTTGCTATTTCCACGCACCCTTGTTTGATTTTTTAACACCACGTCCTAGCATAGACTTCTTGTCCTTTTTGACAACCATAATAGTTTTCGTCACAGGTCCTCTACCATGTGGACAGAGCTGCACATTAGGTTGTACCATCCCACGTTGCTGGCTGCCAACTTGACTCATTGGTTGTACCAGCCCATGTCTTTGGCTACCAACTTGATTCATTGGTTGTACCAGCCCATGTCTTTGGCTCGCCACTTGATTCATTTGTTTTGCTGATAATCTGGTTGGTATCTGAGAATTGATCAAAGGGCAAATGTTTAAAAACACAAGTCATTGTAAAAGACGTAGTGCCAGTCAATAATTATTACATTTTTAACATCATCTGAGAGACTGAGATAAAGGAAAGGTTTTACACAACAACAATTTCGGAACATTTCGGAACCATCTGACCAATCAGAGCATCAGTGAATTTGACATCACTAATAGGGATATATATAATTTGGAAATGATCATCGGAATCAGGATCCTATTTTGCACATAACAGGTAAAGAATAGTCCCAATTAAAAATCACAGCCACTCAATTTTGCATCTACGATTACAAATATTTACAAAAATTTACAGATTGCAACATCCATGGTTAATTCAAAATAGGTGTCAATACCACGGTAAATAAATAAAGTGTAAAAAAATATTAAACCTATACAAAAAATGGTAAACAGTCATTCATGCTGAACTGGATCAAGAAAATAAATAATATGCATTTACTCTGAAGATAAATGGTTACTATGATTTAACAATAACTCACATACATTGTACATGTATATTAGCATAAGAAGAATAAATAAACTCACTGTAAAGTAATTGGTCCGTGTTATGCATTGAATAAAATAAATAACTCATTAGTATGCAGTAATGATGTAAATATCCAGCATTAATGTGTCGTGCCATGGACAGAGTTATGGAGGTGTATGCATTGGTTTTCATTTTGTTGGTAACAAAAATTTTAGTCAAAAACTGTAGTTAAAAATAAACATAAACACATTGCTTAGTAGCAAATGATCATAGGAGCGTAATCTGGTCATGCTGTGTTTCACAAACGAATAACATAAGATGTTGCAAATGTTGATTGTTACCGGTACTCAGTCGTGATTATAATAATTGTTTTAGAAACACAAATAAATGTTATCCAACTTAGTTTCATCGAAAGTTAATGTTTTCAATCACATGCAAACACTTTTTCAATACTTGATTTGACCTTAAATGTTGTATACAATGCCATGGGTCCCAAATATTGACAAGTAAGCATGACAACTGCTCACAGTAAAATTGATTCATGTTCTCACCTGTTGTTGTGCTCTTCCTTTCTGAGATGTTTGGTCACCCAAATTACGTCTTGTTTTTGGTACAGCTGATTGTTGTTGTTTATTAGATACGACTGACTGTTGTTGGTCATTAGGTCTGCACAGATACGATTCATCTCTGTTAATGACAAAATATACAAATGTGACTACAGAATACAGCTATGCTAGTAATGTAGTAAAAGGGGAAAAATAAGTTAATAATTTATATGTGATTCAAACATTCTCTAAAAGTTCATAAGTGTGTTACTATACCAACCTATACATCATCTGAAAGCTTAGATATATGTGAATACCCTAGTACATATGCTGTACCTGAATTTGTCTGAGAGATTACATAACGACCGACTTTGCTTTTGTGCCTTTTTGAATATTCAGACTAATGAGAACCCCATTTTTTAACATTTTAGGTCAAGTAAAAGACCTGCGAAATGCATTGGACGTTCATAGCGCTGTAGGCTAGATGACCTAGTCTAATTTTTTCTTTATCTAACCCATGACAATTGGTTCACCAGTAGCATTTACAGTGTATACCATACTCGACCGCGTTAGCGCCTACCCCCCACTTTTGCGCAATTGCTAACGCGGTTGAGTGCGGTATTACAGTACAGTTCTCGAGAAAGCTTTGGCTTCACTTCAGCGTCAGCTTCGCTTCAGCTTCGCATCATTATGGCATTGTTATGGCTTCAGCGTCGCTTCAATGTCGCGACATAAAAAGTTGAGGCGGTCATCACTTCGCTTCATTGTGGCCTCATTATGGCGACAATGTGGCATCAGCATCGCTTCATCAAACAAAGAAGTACAGAACTCATTTCGCCCAAGCTCTCGCCCGCTTCCGCTTTCCAATCACTCGCTTTTGCGACCGCTTGTTGAATTTCCGACTGTGCAAAAATTCGGACTACTAACAATTTTCTGGTTTTCATAGATCACGGTTACTAATTTAGTAATCGTGCATAGATGTTGAACAACCGTCAAAAGTTCAAATACTTTTTGTTTTAACTATCTATAATTATATGCACGCAATCTGACCCTTTGACCTAGATTGGCTGGGATTGACTATTTTATTTTAACAACTTATTCTGACGTGACGCACTGCTACAAATGTA